ATAATAATAATAATAATAATAATAATAATAATAATAATAATAATAATAAATTTTATTTATAGCCTGCCCCTCTGCACAGCAATCGAGGCAGGTTACAACATTTAAAACAAATCAAGTTAAAACATTCCTTCCTCCCCTAATCCACCCTCCCACCCCTTTAATATCTAAAAAAGTAACTTCCTAATCTCTGATGGGAGGTGGCATGTCTTTGAATACCATTCACAGGGGGATGAGGCCAAGGGAGTGCTGGACAACATTTACAGCAGCCATAATTGATGATAAGACAACCATCTGAACAATGCAAAGTGATGAACCGAAAACAAAGAGTCTTGTTGCACCCTCGGACTTTCCCACATTTTGCTGTATGCTGGCACTGAAATGGCGCTGTTACCGCTTAAGGCCGAGAAGATACCCAACACAAGAAAGGTGCAAAATATTTTTAGTTTGGGAACCACCCTAAGCAAACAAAAAGAAGGAAGCACTATTTGTTTGCATAGGTATTCGCCGCTTTTGCTGTGGCATGCCTAAAATGAGGCATGCAGTCAGCACCCATTGCTTGCAAAGCGCACCTTTGAATGCACCCATTGTTTTCCAAAAGTCACGTGAAATTTTGGAAATATATTCAGGGACAGCCGTGTTGGCCACATCGCAAAGTCGAATAATATCCACATCCTGCAAAAAAGAATGATTCCCAAAATGCATGATGCCAGTGGAAACTCGAATGCTTGTATTTTCTGGCCGATTAAAGCTACCACTGTTTTGTGGATTTTGGATGTTATCGTAATGAATTTTTGGAGTTCACCTGTGTGCAGTTCCAGGGCGACGTGGTTTCAGATTAAATACATCTGTTTCTCGGAGGCGGCAGAGTTTGATAGAGAACATATGCAAACACACTGACATGAAGATCAAACAGCCACCGACAGAAGTCCAACATCAAGTTGTTTTATCAAGCATCAATGGTTTATTTATTTTTTTAAAAATCTCAGCTGAGGAACATCTTCTGGAGCATAATCCATTATGAGAAAATGGGGAAAAATATGGCTCAACCGCGTCTGCTGGACATTAGTTAGTAGGTTGTCAGAGTACAACACACCACAACAAATCCTGGGACTTGTAGTTTTGTGATATATTGCACCTCATTTGTCCCAGAACTCTGGAACCACAAGACAGAGAACAACACACCACAACAAATCCTGGGACTTATAGTTTGGTGATATATTGCACCTCATTTGTCCCAGAGCTCTGAAATCACAAGAGTACAACACACCACAACAAATCCTGGGACTTGCAGTTTTGTGATATATTGCACCTCATTTGTCCCAGAGCTCTGGAACCACAAGACAGAGAACAACACACCACAACAAATCCTGGGACTTGTAGTTTTGTGATGTTATGCAACTCCTCTGTCCCAGAGCTCTGGGGCCCAAACACAGGGAACAACACACAACTACAGCTCCCAGGGTTGCATAGGATGGAGCCCTGGCAGTCAAAGCGGTGTCAAACCGGATTGCTTCTGCAGTGAGGATTCCCGCAGCTAGAGGCTACTATTATTCCCCGAAAGCGAAGCCACTCCTTGCAGCCTCTGGCCGCCAGGGGCGCTGTGGCGCAATGGGGCTTTCCCCGGGAAAAGGGGCGTGGCCTCCTCGTGTCTGGAGCGAAATCTTTGCAAGCGAGCCTAGCAAGGCCAGTCTGTTGCCGGCTCTCGAAGAGGAAAGGTCGCATGATCCCGTCTCTCTCTGGGACTCTGCTGCTGCTTCTTTTCTTTGCAGGGACTTTGTCCTCCCTGGAGTCCCTCCTCTGGCACTCAGGAACCCCAGATTTAAAAACAACCAAGCCACCCACCCAGCAAGTTTTTGCAAAGAGAAACCCAAGGAGTCGAGAAATCAGTGGCTGGTCCCTGTCGAAATTCTCGCTTCGGTCGAAATGGGGCCGAAATGGCTCCTCCGTCCCCTCTATTATTTCTGCCTCCTGGTGAGTGATAGAAGTGCTTGCAAAAGAATCTATCTGTACACACACACACACATACACACACACATATATATATATATATATATATATATATATATATATATATGTTGTGTGTGTGTGTGTCATCTATATGTATATATTTATATATATATGTGTGTGTGTGTATTTATATATATGTGAGTGTATTTATATGTGTGTATTTATATGTGTGTGTGTGTGTGTGTGTATTTATACATATGTGAGTGTGTATTTACATGTGTGTATTTATTATATATATATTGTTGTTGTTGTTGTGTGCCTTTAAGTCGTTTCCAGTTTATGGTGACCCTAAGGCGAAATTGTTGACTTATAGTGACTAGTCTAAAGCAACCCTACCATAGGGTTTTCTTGTCCAAGTTTCTTCAGAAGGGAGGTTGCCATTGCTCAGTCCTCTGAAGCTGAGAGAGTGTGACTCGCCCAGTAGGTTTCCATGGCCCAATCGGGATTTGAACCCTGGTCTCTAGAGTCCAACACTCAAACCACTACACCATGC